AAATTTATATATTTGGCTTTATTAGTTATTGGTTTTATTTTCCTATAAGCTAAAATACTTTGATAAATTGTTTTAATTTCATATTTTTAAGTAGAAATTTCTCTGTAAGAATTATTTGAATATCAAGTAATATTATAATGTGTATTTTTCTAATTTATTTACTTAATTTGTATACCCTACATTTTAATCAGTAGCTTGTAACGCTGTGAAAGAGTCATTTCCGACCCTATAAATTATATATATTCTTGTTCAGCATCAACAGCCGAATCGATCTAGCTATGCTTGGAGAAAATTTTTTTTTCAAATTTTCCAACATTTTATAAGGGGTTACATCGATAAAATTTTTAAAAATTGTCAAAATTTAAAATTTTTTTTAAATTGACTATGCAGATTTATTAACGCAATTAAAAATAGTATAGGAACGCATTCAGAATTAAAATTAATGCTTTTTTGGCTTAGTTATGAGTTTTTCAAACTTTGATATGTAAAAAAAATTTTCACATCAAAATATCTATAAATATCGATTCATAATATAGTATAATATAATTCTTATTTTTCATTTTCAATATAAAAAATTTAACTTCTGTTTTATTAATTATATTCTTATTTATTTATCTTATAAACTGATTAATAAGACACTCGTAATTTTCTTAACCCTTTCTTTTTTCTCTAATTTCTTTTTTATCTCTTTCTCCGTATCTTCCTTCCCTCTCCCACACACACACACACACACACATAACGAAATCAATTAAAAGCGCAATTAATTTGTGTGACAGCTGAAGAAAACGGACGCCAAGCTTTTTGGCAGAGAAAGGAGAGGAGAAAGAGTGTAAATACTCGACCACTCTCTTCCTCCCCTCTCTTACTACCGCTCCGATTCCGTTGGAATAATAAAAGTAATTTAATTTTAATGAAATTGTTAATACGAAAACAATTTCATTTTGTAAAAAGTTTTTGCCACCGCAAAAGAGTGCGAAAGGGAGGCACAATGACGGGATGCTCGGGCCAAACGAGAGGTGGGGGCGAGAGAGAAAGCAATTGCTCGTGACAATGAGCGAAAGAGCAACAAAACACGCAAACAAACAAACAAACAGACAGAAGCGAGAGAAAGAGAGAGTAAGGGAGACAAGACAACAAAAATGCCGTCGGTGGAAAACAAGCCAAAAAAGATAGCAGCAGCCGCACCACCACCCACACAGAGGGAGCGACAGGGATGGAGAGCGGGAGCAAGGAGGAGCAGGCAAAAATGAAATGCTGATGCGAAGATTTAATAAATGAAATTGGTGTGTGATTAAAAACACAAAAACCAAACGAAATCCATCTAATCAACTTTTGCTGCCTGCCTTTTGCTCCACCTCCTTCTCCAGATGCTGCTGCCGCTGCTTTCTCCACAGCTTCGTTATCCTCTCATTCTTCCTTATCTTTGGCCCCCCTTTCTCTCAGATATCCCTTTCTCACTCTTTGCAGCTGACTTGCAGTTGGCCGAGAGCAGCGACGTCGACTGAGGCAGCGGCAGAAACGCAGCTGCCAGAGGAGGCGGAAGCTAAAAAAGTCCCCATTGGGGTAATTTTCCTACCGAGATCAAACTTTCTTGGCTTTAAGGTGTTTCTGTTTACACCAAATATTATTTAAGTACATACCCAATATAAACAATATATTTAATTTTTAAATAATTGGATTCTATATATACAAATAAATTATTAATATTAATTTTTAAATAAATTTTTCTTATAAAAACTGTAAAACTCTATTAACATTTTGAGTAAAATACTTGAATAACTTTGTTTAATTAGTTATTGTTAATATGTTTCTTTTTATATATTACAAAAAGTATAAATTCTAATAATATATAGCTAATTTAGATTATTTTAATTTCCCTTTTTCCAATATGAACCATTTCTGTGTATAAATACCCCCTAAGTAATTTCCCTTTTTTCATAAGACTCCGCCCCTATTTGCGTGCGGAAAATGGCTGGGCAATTTGCCATCTCTTTTGGTCATACAGCTTGTATACCATTAGTAAGACAGGAAAAGTATACTTGGCTACGAAATAAAGGGATATTTTATACTTACGCCCTCTGTATTTGTATTTTGAAGATACTTAGTTCTAAACTGTAACTGAATTCGTTAAATGGCGCTCTAATGGAAAAAATGGTTCACATTTTTAGCTCAGGAAGTGATATGGCGCTTGTTATTATCCTTCATTTGCTAGTTTGAAAATACTACGTAATTTGTTAACTGGCGCTGGATATTTTAATAGTTCCTGAAACAAACGCAATATGTATGTAAAGTAATTTTATATTATGTTTTATTTAAATTTAATTTAACTTTACAAAAAAAATTTTAATATATATTAGAATTTGCATTTGATCAAAAAAATGTTAAATGCTTATAAGAATGGTAGGTGGTATAGATACTAATATTTACTTAGTTTTGCGTACACTATTGTTAAAGTTACTACTCCACAGCTTCAGAAAATATCATAATCCATATTAATAAATTTCCTTACAAATTCTTAAATCTATATTGTTTACTTATTTATTTATTTATTTTTTTTTTGTTTTATTTTTGTTATTAAATACTAATTCAATCATTTTGAACAAAATTTATGCATATTGTTGTTCAGTATGTAATCATCGCTGTTCACATGCAATTAAAGTCCAAATATGGCCATTCATAATTCCGGATTAATTTGGAATTAGCATCGATCTCTACCAGTATTAACATTGACCCACTCCCGAGATGAATCATTTTGTTTTACTTGGTTTTCAACAATTATTTAAGAGTCTCAATCAAAATCAAGAGATTTTTTTTCTGTTTTCAACTCTTTACTTCTTTTTTGTTTTTATTAAAATTGCATATAAAATAATAATAACAAGAAAGGAATCTAACTTCGGCACGCCGTAGTTTGTATACCCTTTCATTTAATTCACCTATACACTTTATATTTACAGTTTTTCATTCACAGTTTTGCATTTTCCTCTATATCTAACGATCATTTGTATGATCAGATTTTCATAAAATTGTACTCAAAATTCTAGATTTATATATAATGGCTATATATTAAATTTGTTGAAAGTCTGTTGAAAACTGTAAAAGTTATATTTATTTTTCTAAAAATTTTCTGATCGTTCCTATGGCAGCTAGATATATTTATACATACATATATATAGTCCACCGATTCGCCATATTCCGACTTATATACTAGTATAATTATATAGAAGAATAACCCAATAGTTTCATTGAAATAACTTAAATTTGATCCAAAACAAATCTCGCACATCTGTGCTTATAATTCTCAACTGGTTCTAACATCCCCGGAACGAAGTGACTGCTGCCGGCCAAGTTTCAGAAATGTGTTGTTACAAAAGTTGCAAGTCATTGTTTGTTAGTGTTCGCAGATAGTAACTGATCATACAGACTAACTGGTCATAGATACTTACTGGTCATAGATACTTACTGTTCAGAGTTACTTGCTGCTCATAGATACTTACTGATCAAAGTTACTTAACGTTCATTGATACTTGCTGATCATAGTTAATCACTGGTCATAAATACTTACTGTTCAGAGTTAATTACTGGTCATAGATACTTACTGTTCATAGCTTATCTTCATATCATATGATTCCCAACTGGTTCAAACATCCCCGGAACGAAGTGACTGCTGCTGGCCAAGTCTCAGAAATGTGTTGTGTTACAAAAGTTGCAAGTCATTGTTTGTTAGTGTTCGCAGATAGTAACTGATCATACAGACTAACTGGTCATAGATACTTACTGGTCATAGATACTTACTGTTCAGAGTTACTTGCTGCTCATAGATACTTTCTGATCAAAGTTACTTAACGTTCATTGATATTTGCTGATCATAGTTAATCACTGGTCATAAATACTTACTGTTCAGAGTTAATTAATGGTCATAGATACTTACTGTTCATAGCTTATCTTCATATCATATGATTCCCAACTGGTTCAAACATCCCCGGAACGAAGTGTCTTCTGCCGGCCATGTCTCAGAAATGTGTTGTGTTACAAAAGTTGCAAGTCATTGTTTATTAGTGTTCAAAGTTAGTAACTGATCATACATACTTACTGTTCAGAGTTACTTGCTGCTCATAGATACTTACTGATCAAAGTTACTTAACGTTCATTGATACTTGCTGATCATAGTTAATCACTGGTCATAAATACTTACTGTTCAGAGTTAATTACTGGTCATAGATACTTACTGTTCATAGCTTATCTTCATATCATATGATTCCCAACTGGTTCAAACATCTCCGGAACGAAGTGACTGCTGCTGGCCAAGTCTCAGAAATGTGTTGTGTTACAAAAGTTGCAAGTCATTGTTTGTTAGTGTTCGCAGATAGTAACTGATCATACAGACTAACTGGTCATAGATACTTACTGATCATAGTTACTTAGCGTTCAGAGTTACTTGCTGCTCATAGGTAATTACTGATCATAGTTACTTACTGGTCATAGATACTTACTGATCATCGTTAATTACTGATAATTGTTACTTAGTGATAATAGTTACTTGATTGATTTATAATTTTTATTATTTTAGATATATACTACGATAAAATATTAAAATAATGCTAATAATGAATAAAACTGAAAATCTTTCGAATTTGTTATAAGTGGAATTTTACATATTTCCAATTTGCGACATGGTTCAGTGCAAACTGTATAAAAACATCAGCTTTCAGCACGGCAGGCTTATTTCTTGTTTTACATTTATTTAAAATCAATAAATAAATATTTTTTGTTTATAAAATATCAGTGTTTCTTATGTAAACATCGAAAAACTAATTAAAATACTTTCTGCATAAGTTACAAAGTTGTCAGGCAGGTCTGTTAATGAATTTTACTTCCTACATAGGATGTAAAATGTTCAATAACAGCAAGTTAACAGCATTGAAATATCGCATAAAAAGCTCTCACGATCGCAAGTTTCTCTGCATGTGTTGGTGTTGTCCGGTTAGTTGTTGTTTGGCTAGTCGTACGATCTGGTGTGTTGTGCTCAATTCTTAGCGAAAAAAGAACATGGTTCCATATGTGCAACTAATTGCCACTAAATTGTAATTAAACTAATGGCCAATACTTTTGGTTGACATGAATATAAAGTGTGAGTGCAGTTTTAGTGATATTCATTAACTAGAGACGAGGAAAAGGAAGAATGGACAGAGCAAAAGGAGGAAGAGAGTGTGATAGAGAGCGAGTCGCCTCTCTGAACTCGGCATTTTTATAGTGGAAAAATAGTAGTGAATAAATTAAAATGCAGCCTGCAATTAAATGCATGCATAAAATACGAGTGGAAAATCACTTTAGTGTCGGACTCGCGGTCGCAGATTTCCAGTGAAAAATTCTCGCAACTAACATCGTTTTCCAGGGCATCAATCGGAGTTTCAATTGCAGTTTCTATGCCCAACTCCCGTTCTTTCGTTCTCTCATTGTCCGCTTCTTTGAACTGCATTTTTGCGTCGCACTTCTTTATTCTTTTCGCATTCCCATTCTGTTTTCTTTAAATATATTTTAATAAAAGCTGACTCTCCTTACGCTTACTTCTCCTTGTGCTGTGTTTTTCTTTTTTGTAGTTTTGCCCCACACACACAATTCTTTCCAATTCGTGAGCGTTGCCGCCGCCTTCGCCTCGTTGTTTTTGTTGTTGTGTTTCTGTCTTCTGTCTCGCCGCCGCGCTTCTATTTTTAGCAATACACATTGTTGTTGTTGTTAACTACGCTACGCTGGCAGCAGAAGCGAAAACAAGGCAAACTATTCGGAGCGGGCGCGAGTGAGTTGAAAACAAAAGAGAGTGAGAGAGCCTGGGAGCACAGTGGAGCTTACGCAGTAGTTGAAAAAACAATAAAAATTAAATTGATGAAAAAAGTTTTTAAAATATTTGCACAGCAGAAAAAACACAAATTTAAATAATTTTAAAAGCTGAAATGAACTGCAGTAAGTTCGCATCTACCAGGCCCCACTGTACTTGACTCAGGTGATAACAAAAACGGGAGAGTGGCTGAGAGAGAGAGAGGGAGAGCGCAAAATACACTTGTTTGATCGCCGTTGTTCCTCCTCATCGCTCGCCTCAGTCAACCTTTCGCTTCGCTCTAGTGTTCTGCGTTTAAATTTTAATGCCTAATTTTCATAGAAAATCTAGTGAAAAGACAAGATAGAAGTGAAAAGAAAAGCAGGAAAAGTGCAGGCCTGTTGGATTGATGACGAAGTTTCGTGTGCGGCCGCCTGCATTTTGATGTTCAGCCTTAATTTTGTGCTTCCTGTGAATTAACGAGAAAAAATACGCGTGTAAAAGGAGAGGAATATATTCATATAAATAAATATATGTAGAGAGAGGGAGAGAGACTGCGATCAACAAGTGGAAACCGTCAAACTTTCTTCGCAAAAGCCGGCTGAACATCGTGGAAGAAGAGGAAGCAGAAGAAACAGACACAGAGGAGAGGCAATAATTCCGTTGGATTTTCTGGAATCTCTTTGCATCGTTTCATCGTCCAACATGTAAGTGGTCTTTTTAATATGCAATTATTGTCCGCGATTTATTATTGTTTATTTATGGATTTATGCCGCCTACGAATATCGCGATTGCACAATCGGCAAATTCCGAAGGCGTATGAACGATTTTCAGGTGTTTTTTTTATACCCCTTACCTTTTGTGTTCAAATGGTATTATAACTTGCGCACAAAAATAGAAAAATAAACATAAATAAATATAATAAAATGAGGAAGTGATAATAAAGTAAATGGCATATAAAAATATGATTCTGTCTGTCTGTCCGAATGAAATAAAAGCTTTCTTATTTAAACTTTTAGAATAAATCATATTGACATAGAGTTAACTTAATATTCTTTATCTATTTAATTAATATTTATTTATTGAGCTTTAGTATTGGGTATTTAACAGTTGATTTTAGCTTTCTTACTCAATTTTTTATAAAAGTCAGTAAAGGCTTTGGAGTAGTGCCATCTCTTTCTCGTTGAGTGCCCTTGTCCGCTCACGGAATAATCAATGAAGTCTCAGGGACTGAGCCCTTTTCATACTAGATATAAAAATAAATATCTTTCACATGGATACGGATACACATGATTTTGTCATTGTATTATGCAAAAAGGTTCGATAAAAAAATCATTTGTTTGCTATATCAGTATCACTGATAAGGCTAAACCAAAAAAACAAACTAAAATGATAAATCAAAAGTTGAGAGATCTCGCAAAAACCAAATGGATGGCTTATATTAATATACCTAAATTACTTTTTATGTGAGCAAAGATTAGAATTCTTACTAGGAAAATTAATTATTTAATTATCAATAGTATTTTATAACGGGTTTATTTTATAACGATATTTTTATATTCATACAAATACCCCTCTAAAATCGATTTTTGTTTATTTTTCAAATATTTATTGCGAAATCGGAGCTAGTGATAGGAAACTCAGAACTTTCCGCACCTTCAATGATATATGATAATTTCCAAGGGCGCTTTAGGGATAAGTATGTGGATTTTCATGTTTCTACGTACATATTTTCTTGTAATTAAATGTATATTTTTGTGCTGATTTTGAGAAGAGCGAACAAAGCTCAGTTGTTGTCGTAGTTATTTGCTGTTCATAGGTATTTTTTTCTACTTTTTTTTTGCTAATTTATTTTAGCATTTTGTCATTAAAGTTTAACAAACAAACAAACAAAGAAACTCGGGGGCAACAGTGAAAAATCGCTGACACGTTGTCTTGCGATTTGTTTTCGATCGGTTTCAGGTGTGTTTTACGAACTGCGCAGATTTCAAGCGTAAAAATATATTTATTGCTTAATAATTATAAGGAAAGGCTTTTCTTATCTTTGAAAAACTGCAGCAGTTGCACAATAGCCAAGCTTGAATATTTTATTTGCCTAACTTTAAATGTTTACTATTCTTCTGGGACAAAAATTAAGTCGCAATAAGAAAACTCATTGGTGGCTTTAAAATGAATATATTCTTATCTGAGCTTTAAAGTGATAAATATAGAAGTCAGGAAATTGGAAAGAAAACTGACTGAAAGAACTTTATTGTTTGCTGCTCGACTAAATATTATCCCCTAGAAGTTTCAGTACGAGAATCTATTTGTTTATTTTTTAAAATAATTAATTTTTTTTTTTGAATTTCGAAATTATTTCAACAGTTGCATGTATTAATTACATCTCATATTATTCAAACTAGTCGACGTTTTAATTCAATGAAAATGTTTAGGGGTTGAGCTTCTGTTAATAACATTGCCAACTTTGACCTTTATCTGACTCCATTTATAAGGATTAAATGTGATGTTTTATTGCCAATTTGATCGTCTCATAAACACTTTTAAATTATTAATTTTCATATTTCTCTAATGATCATTGGTATGCTTTAATAAATCATATTTTTGTATAAATACCTTGCTAGTAAACAAACATTTTTATTTGTTTGCTTATCCAACTGGCCGTTTATAGTCCGTAAAATAAATAAACAGCTTGTCAAATTTTCACATTTTAGTATTCTCTTTCCCCTTCCCCAAGCCCCAAAGCTATTCGAATTCTTCAATCCGCGAGACCATAACAAATTGCGATTTGTGGTCTCTTCTTTCTAGAAGACGTGCCCCTCTTTTCAGGTCGAATTTCGGGGCTTTGGGTAACAACAAAAAAATACAGCTGTTATAAGCTGCATATCAAATTAAAGTCAAATTGGCAAATTTGCAACAGTAAAATTTGACAAAGGAGAACGCTTTTCGGTTGGCAATCAATTTGCTAAGAAAATTAACACCAATTTGCAGTTTTCATCAATGAAACGTGTTTGTTGAAAGAGCGTAAAGTAACACCTAAGAGATTTATTTTCTGGAGAGCTTTACTCTCTTTGCAATAAGATTTAACTCTTCCATTCTCTTCTGATTTGGGGGCAACAGCTGTTTATGATTTTCATTGACGTGTAAATTTCCATCAAGATTGCATTGAACTTGAAACGAAAGCTTTGCGTGCGGCCAATGAATTATGGCTAAAAGCCAAGGAAAGTTGTTTATTTGTTGGTGTTTTATTTTTCTGTTCTATATTTTGTCTGGGATCAATCGATATATTATCGATATCTGGAAGAAATTTGCCATCGCTATCCGGCAAAAAGCTGTATGTATTAAAGCTTTTCAAGTTTTTGTTTATCACTGTTTACATGTAAAAGCTGCAGCGGCGATCGAAAAGTGTAACGGTTTAAAATTCAAAAGGGAGAAAATCAAAATTTGTTTCAAAATTAAAATGTTGTAAATACCTTTGTTTAATGTTGTACAATATTTTTTAATGTAACTTTTTTCTATTATTTATTTACATTATTCGAGTGGTTATTTATAATATTCGTATTTGTTATTTAGAACAAATGTTTTTTATTTATATTTTATACTATCTGCCCAACCCTTAAATGCATTTATATCACAATGGAAAAACGGGCGTTGTCGCCACTCAATTTATTTGCTACTCTGTTGCCGCCCAAATAACCTTTCCTTTCCCGATTGCGCCAATTAAATAATATATATACAATATACATATATAATTATTACCCACGCTCACTGGCAGCTCTCATGACGACCGCCTTATCAATAGCGTCAATGTCGCCAAAATACAAACAAAATCGAGTATAAACACAACAACTAGTATCGGAGACAATTTAATAAAAGTATAAACGCAGACAACTGAATCGGTCGCCAGGGGTGGTTAGCATTTATAGAGGGGTTAAGGGTTTACAGACTATATTCATGAATATTCTGAATCATTTTGTTTACTTTGACTTACACTAAAAGCAAGAAAATAAACAAACTTCAGGAAGCCGAAGTTTGTATACTTTTGCAGTTTGCGATTGAATTATAGGATTGTTTCGTAATTATATCGTAACTAAGCTCAAAATATTCGCATTTTGAATAATTTTGTATTGCAATTTTTATGGCATTTTTTTCAACAAATCAAAGTTTAAAAACGCATAACTTAGCCAAAAACGTATTAATTTTAGTTCAGAAAGCGTTCCTATGTTAGTTTTTCGTGGGTCAATAATCTGCATACTCAATTTGAAATTTTAAAAATATTAAAAATTTTGTCAATTTTTGAAAATTTTAACGATGTAACCCCTTATAAAAATTTGAAAAAATGGGCAAAATTTTCTCATTTTTCCTACATGCCTAGAAAGATTCGCCTGTTGATGCTGATCAAGAATATATATGATTTATGGGGTCGGAAATGATTCCTTCACTGCGTTACAATCTTCTGACTAAAAAAATAATACCATTTTTTGTGTCGATGTTATTTATATTTTTAATGGAAATTTGTTCAACAAATCAAAATTTAAAAATCTCATAACTAAGCCAAAAAAGCCTAAATTTTAATTCGGAAAGCTGTCCCATGCAAGTTTTTATTAGGCTAATAAATCTGGATACTTCATCTAAAATGTAAAAAATTAACATTTTTGGCAAATTTAACGATGTAACCCCTTATAAAAATTTGAAAAAATTTTCAAAAATGTATAATTTTTCTAAACATGCCTAGAAAGATTCGCCTTTTGATGCTGATCAAGAATATATGTGATTTATAGGGTCGGAAATTAGTTCTTCACTACGTTTTGATGTTTTGACTGAAATTATAATACCTTGCAAGGGAATTTTTAGTGCTTTTCTCTCAGTGCATAAAAATCTTCCAAAGATCTTTCCCATCACTTTCCCATTGAATTTGCATGTAAACAATTTAATAATGTTTTGATTTTTACTTAAATCACGTCCCACGCCAAATGATTGCTGCATGCTCAACTTAATTTCCTCTCTCTCTCGTCTGTCTGCTGCTGCTAAATTTATAGTTGATAATAATTCCAGTTCGACTTTGTTTACACGCCCCGTAATATTGTTTGTAATAAATAAGTCAGTGTTTCCCTAAACGTTTTCCGCTGCAATTGCGAGCAGGTAGCAAGCAGTCAACGGGCTTTTGTTGTAATTATGACATAGAAAAAAGGAATATGGCTATGGCGAAATTTGGCATGAGCTATACCGATGTGATTTATGGAGTGATCCATACTAAATCATCCATTGAGTGCCCCGCCACCTCAAGAGTTTCGTCACGGTTTGTGTGTGTGCTTGTGTGGGAATTACAATAAATTGCCTTGGGCTGTCAACGCGGCGTATGCGTAATATTTCTAGGGGTAACTGTAATTGAAGAATAATGGTTTCAAATATTTATTTATTGAAAAGTGTGCTAAGGGGGTGATTTTACTACGGTCACAAAATTTAAATGAAATGAGTCAGCTTAGTCTTGGGTAATATTTCAATTTTATTTCGTACACCTGGCGTATACGTGATAAATGGTTGTGTTACAATATAAAGCACGTTTTCTAGAAAATTATTGTATCGGTTTTTTGTTGTTTAAACATTGTTAGAATATTGAAAATGAAGTGTTAATTAGTATTTCTAATAACTAATGCTTAAAAATATTAGTGTAAACTAATATTGAAATATATTTTAATAAATTATAATT